CACAATCAGATGTCGATTATAAATTCATATTAGTTTATCATTATCATCTAACAAAATATATTATGCAGATTATTTGTATAAATACTTCACAATTTACATTGCCCAATATCCCTCGGACATTGTATACAATGCCCGGTCACTGTGTACAATGCCCGGGCATTGTATACATTGCCCGAATTTTCCACTTTGCCCGTAACATATATATATATATAAGTATATATTATACGATATACATACATACATTATATACTTGGAACGTATAAATATCACCATAATATTTTATGTATGCTCAATTAACATTATTATTTGTGAAATTGGTTTATTATTTGTATCAATTTTATTAATTATTTAATATCTCTTTAGTACTATTTTGATTGTGTCTTCTGATTGATACACAAACCGTTATCCAAGTCTTCAATTTACGTTTACTCGATACAGTATTATTACTATTTGTTATTCTATTTATAAGATTATTTAACATATTATTATGTTATTTATTTGCAAAATTGTCTACATTATTGTCTTCAAAAACAACTTCCCATGTTTCTTGTGCTAAGAATGAACACCAACATTTAATGTTTATATTCAATTTTATATTCTAAATTTCACTATTTATCATTATGTAATTTTTTTTTATCATCAAAGTTCTAAAATTAGATCTGTGGTATATGATTCTAATATGACAGGCCTAATATTACTTGTTCAGCTGTTTCTTATAAGTGTGTGATCAATCGTTGTGGCACTGTTCTTTTTAACCATAGTATAATCATTTATACAACTAAAAAATCCCATTTGAACCATAAGATTTAAATATTCTGTTTTAAATTCATCATTGCTATCTGGCGATGTATTTATATTCATGTCTCCTAAAATTAATACTCTATTAACTGTAATTTTTTTTACTAGTTTGCTTAATTGAGTTTTAAAATCAATAAAAATATTTCTTTTTCCTGTATATAAAGGTATAACTTCAATGGCTGTCTCATTACTACCTTAACTTAAACATTTACAATAATCAATAATAACCTCACTAACAATATTAACTTTCTGCTTTTTATTAACATAAACTATAATATCACTATTTTGGTCAAAGTTTTTTTCCTGAGTTGTGGACGAAGTAAAGCCAATTATCTCAAAATTAATAATACAATTCCTCAGCTAGCATTCTATAAGGATTATACAGTCAAACAATTGTAATTTTGTACTTAACATAACTAGTAATGGGGAAAAATGTTTTGTAATTGATCTAATGTTTAAGTGAAAAGCAAGAAAACTATTTTTATTTACAATGTTTAAGTCTAATTCATTAATATCGGATGTAATGTCAGTTTTAAAATTATCTAGTTTATCAAAATTAACATTCATTATGTTATTATTTATATACTATGAAAAATTCTAAGTTTGTTATTTACATACCCTATAGGCTATAGTAATTTTTTTAGATCGTTTTGTCGTGGATTCTGAAAACTTAGGCTTTGTCATCCTTACAAACTAGAATATCTGTTCCTCTTATTTAGACTTATTTGTAACTTTTTTCTTTTGCTAATGCTTTTAACCTTCCCAACAATAGCCTTCTGGATTTTGTCAAGTGACTATTAACGTATACTTTTGAAGCAGGCCAACTGTCTAATATTTTCTTAAATCATAATAATAGTCGTGCGTTAAATATAAATTCATATCAAACTTACTACTTCCAGTAGATTTATATTATACTACTGTTACGTGTTCATATTGATTGATTGTATGTATTTTAATTCATTTTTACCAGCGTGTGATACACAAAATATGCAAGAGATGCGGTCGTGTGATGGAGATATATGTTAACCAAAATTATGATATATGTATCTTCTGCCACCCACAAACGCCATCGGAGGAGTAATTTAAGAGTTTGAATATTATCACTTATTATTATACAACCATTGTATATATATTTTTTTTTAATTTTTAATTTTTAATTTATACAAACAAAAATATACAAAAAATTATACAACAAAACAACAGTACAATAAGAATGATAAAAATGATAAAAATGCTAACCAAATAGGTGGTTAAAAAAGAAAAACGAGGTCCGTATTGGCATTGTATAAAACGTAAGTCTAATAGGCTCATTCGACAAGTAGTTGATGGAACATAGTTAGAGAGACATGGAATGTTTATAGCGGTAGTGTGATTAAATTAATTATAAACTGGAATTAATTTCCATCATAAAAGATTACTATTATAAATTGGTGTACCTCGATCCGTTAAGTAAACTATAATATAATTAATAATACATTTATTTTTGTTTTTTGATTTAATTAAATGTTTTCAAATAATTATTATTGAAATGATACTTTACAACATTTACATTTATATTTTTGGCAAAAACTTTGGTTTGTTACTCATCTGTATCAACATACCTACACATTGACCTTCCCTTTTAAAGTGTATGCACTGCACATATAATGTTTGGAGAAAAACGTAACAAAATATACGTCATGTTTGCAATTAATTCATTGGCACAAGTTTTTAAGAAATAAGGTACCTAATTATATATTTTTAAATAAACCATAATAAGCCTTATGATAAAATTAATGAGAAATATAAATTTAGTTTGTAAGCACGAGAACAAAATGTAAAGTGAAGTAACATATCACATATTATGTGCATTTTTGCAAAGTTCTATTGATATTATATGGTGCACATTCATATGTTTTTTATTTGAACTAATTACAAAAGTATGAAATAGAATATTTTAATCAATGTAATTTCTTGCATTTACTTCAGTTGGTAGTGTATTGTCAACTAATAAGTCAACTTTTGTTTTCATTTTGGTTTTTTTCAATGTTCTTACTCAGTTATTAAAGCTTCATAACGCTACATGTTTAGAAACATCAGTGATCCGCTATTAATTTAAATACAACAAAAATCAACTTGGAGAATTAGTAAAACGGACCATTTTGTAATTTTTTACGATGTAATTAATGATTAAAACATTTTTAAATAACGTAACATACACAATTATATGATACTCATTATATTGTTTAGGAATGTAAATTTAAGGTATCAAAATAATAATTTCTTTAATTTAACGTAATTTAACTCAAATAAATTAAAATTAATACAGACAGAATAATAGCATACAAACTTAAAATGTGCAAACCTACACGACGGTTTAAAGGTTGAAATAATTAAATGTCGCGTACGAGTGCTGAAAATGAAGATCGTTAGAAATCGTCATTTTTATACACACGGATGAACATTTAAATATTAAATATTATAATCATTTGAATACAACTATATTGATGTGATATACTATAAACATTATTAAAAAACATATACTTATGCACACAATAAAATATTTTTTTTTTTTTTTTTTCATTTTTTTTTTTTTTTGTCATATTTATTTTTATTTGTACAATCTGTATAAACACAATAAAATATGCAGTCTAATTCGAATCGTCTAAAGCAGTCGATTCGAAACTGTGCCATTAAATCGCTAGCGGAAATACTCGTGACAATAATATTATAATCATGGGAATTAAAATAATTGAAATATTGACCTGAAAACGACATAGTAAAATAATAAACAAAACGAAAATGGAGATTATTGAATGCATATAAATATTTTATGCGAAAGGTCTGTTAAATAAAAAACCCCGTTTAATGTTATGTTTATGGAACATGCAAACACACTTTTTATTTATTCTGTACAATCGAACGAGACTCCGAGGCAAGGTAAGGAAATTAGCTAAGAAAAATCGCTCGAATCCAAACGTGGTGAGAAATTCGACGGTGGTGAAAAACACTGATGTGCGTACAGACTGCTGGCACGAACACCACACGACAACACGTCTTTCACCTCATACTATTAATTACTTGGTATAGGCCAACGATTTAAAATGATATGATAATTATCGAAAAGTAATCAACGAGCGGAACCGTAGTGAATTTATTACTTATTGGCTATTATAATATCGTTTATCGAGAACGGAAATAAAAAAAAAAACGAAAACGGAAGAACCGCGTTTGGGCAGACGTGCGGGAACCGAAAAGCCGTCGGCCGGCGTAGAACTAAAATGTTCTAGGAATCGGAAACGAGGTCGTTGCATCTTTGCACGTGCATGCGGTCAGTCGTCGGGCCTACCGCACAGCATACAAAATATGTCGACATGGGCGAAACGCTGCAAGGCCCATTTTTTTAAACGAATCCATTGGTAAAAAGTTTTGAACAAATTATTATATAATATTTGGTGAAATGCGCGTTGGGAACATTGTCGAATTTTCGAATTCAATATAAAACTTATATTCAAAATGTTTCGGATAAACAGTAGGTAGAGATCAACCCAATCTGACTTTATAGCGATGGTCACTATTTACTTTTTTGTTTAATGATGGTGCACAGTAAACAGAGGCCGACAGACAATCAATCGAAATCAAAACGTGACTGAACGACAATTATATACTAGCTAAGTTAGCTAACTTCCGTTTAGGTTAATAACTTTGGTACCGTAGTATTCTATAAACTATGGAAAATAGGTTTATGAATCCATTTTTGTAATACGATGACTAGATGAAGGTATCCTGACATTATAGGAGAATCGTTTCCAACATTATTACCATAAGTTTTTTAGGAATGTGGGTAAATGGCAGGCACCTAAACTAAAATAATTTCTATGTACTTTAATAGGCAGACATCATCGGGCAATTTTTTTATTTAAAAATATTACGGATTTATATTTTATAGATAATAATATGTAGTATACCTTCTATTTAAGTAGGTATAATTGTTTTTACTATAATTATTAATTACCTATTGGCTATTATTATAATTATTATTGCATTTTTCACTAACTTATGCATTTTATAGCTATTAATAATAAAATAGTTACTATCACTGTTATAAGTCACGACAAATATTGTTTCTATACATATTTTTATTGCCACGGACTATCTTGCGATCAATCATTGGCCATAAATTGTCGTAAATAATTTACGATGAAATGACGGGACACCCGACTTTATACTAAATATAGTGAACGTGCCATAGCGAAGAAACGTGTCTAAACACTGACGTGTAACTATAATAAAATACTATGCTATTTCAATTAGTTTTTTACAGTCGCTTATAATATTAGAGCATGAGCATCGCTGTCGTAAAAGCGTTTTCATTTTGGCGTCGGCACGACGGACCGGTCAAATTGTTTTCCGGTTTCTGTACGGACGAAGTTAATGTTATAATTATTATGCGTAGGTATCATAAAACTATACACAGATTTTAGTCGTTATACGATGTGCGATCAGGGTGCCTATAAAATATTATTATGAATCGTTTTCGGTACAAAATTTCTCGCAAGTTTATTTTGGAAAAACTTCCCCCCAACATAAGTTACGAGTATATATACGCTTTATAATTATCATTATTGTACAACTATAATAGTCGGGCCCATGGGCGTATTTACAGAGTAAGTGTCCCTTGACCAACCCCTATATTAGTGTCTCGTGGATATACACAATTTTACAATAAACATTAATATAAGTTATAACTACCAATTATTAACTATAATATTAATTTACATAACAAGTAATAAATATTGGTAAATAACATAGTAGATTTATGTTTTTCATAGAAATTATTTAACACTACTAGGTATAAGAATAATTTGTATTTTATGTCCTGTTCATTAATACTTATTGAATCAATTTTCAAATTTCCATAATTTCCATACCTGAAATATTTAAATATGTACCTACTGAAAAGATAATTTTTGTTGAGGTTCAGAATTACAGAAATAACTATCTATCTTTGACCCGCTACGGGAGAAGAGAGACTAAAGCTTTAACTCAATATTCGTTATTGCCGGAAAAATTAGTTGACGAGTAGATTCTAAGAGTGTTCAATTCTTATAATTTATCTTAACTACCTACGGTTTTTTACGTACCAATATAACTTACTATTTTTATGTATTTTAAATTATTACAATATATTTTATTAAGTTTTGCAAACAAATCGTATACAAAAATTATATGCATGCAATTAATCGATAATATATAATATTTTGTTGAGATACTTATTATAAGTTTCAAAGTGTTTGTGCCAACCCTCCCTCTAAATTTGATTTTTCTAAATACACCATAATCATATGATCACTCAGGACCACATATGCGCCGCGTTATAATAATTAACGGTTATAAATATCGCCTGAGCTTAAAAATACAACTCGGTGAATTATGATACACAGCGCAGTGCTTATTCATGAGGCCAATTTTTCGATGTGTGACGTTTTTTCATCACTCAGCACCAGTGCACCCCACTAACGTAAATTGCTTACACACACCAACGCACACATACACACACACTTACCTACGTGAACATTTCGCTCTATTACCAGTTTCCTATATGTCAACACGGTAGCGCGTAGCTGTCAGCCGTGATGGGTTCTGTTAAAAATTTAGATGGGAACAATCAACTCCACGGCCTCCGGTTATATTATATTATTATTATTACGTTTGGTATACATATATATAAATATTTAGTATTTACTATGTATACCTAGTGGTTAAAAACATCAGCGTTGGTCCATTAAAGTTGTTTTAACGTACATATTAATATAATAAGTATATAAATCTGTAAATCCTATGTGCATAATACATACATATTAATGGACTGGACCACCACGATATTATATAATATATTGCATTACCATATTGAGGCAACGAAAAATAATTATTGTTTTCGTTGGAACGTGTAACGAGGTATAGCCGGAAAATTGAATTTGAAATTCCGTTGTGCGCCAAGTGTAAAAAATTGCAACAACGGTAACCGCATCATTGGTATTTGCCATTTGGTATACTTTGGCATGTATGCAAAAAATAAAATTAATAAAAGTAGTAGGTAGGTCCAACGAGTATAAATTGCTCATATAAATAGGTTTGGAGGTTTTAATTACGATTATTAATTATTCAGAGAATTGCACGTTTTACGCGA